GAGCTGAATTTTCTGACGTTTGCAGGGTGGTTTCAAGGAAAAGCCGTGCCCGGTCCGCCGTAGAACACTTAGACTGCAGTTCAGTAGTACCTAAGAGACCCAATTAGTTGGTGCCATTTAATAAGTCTAGCTATCCTTGTAATACATTTTAAAGCGCCCGTTTAGGGAGAGAGTAAGGGCAGAAATGCAGTATTCCCCCTTTGCAAATACTTAAGGGCAGCCCCCCCCCCGGTTAATTTCAACTGAGTGTCCTGTCTCGCAGAACTATTGTGAAAAACACAAATGAACACAAAGAATCTGAAATCTCAGCCATTTCAGGGACAGAAGTAGCGGCTCTTAAAAGAGCCTTTGGGATTATGAAGAGTGGGAGGGGGGGATCACCGGAATGGCGCCCAGCGACCTTAAGCCCTCTCCCCACGGATGCGGCGGGCCAGCTGGATGTCCTTGGGCATGATGGTGACGCGCTTGGCGTGGATGGCGCACAGGTTGGTGTCCTCGAAGAGCCCCACCAGGTAGGCCTCGCTGGCCTCCTGCAGGGCCATCACGGCCGAGCTCTGGAAGCGCAAGTCCGTCTTGAAGTCCTGCGCGATCTCCCGCACCAGGCGCTGGAAGGGCAGCTTGCGGATCAGGAGCTCGGTGGATTTCTGGTAGCGCCGGATCTCCCGGAGAGCCACCGTGCCGGGGCGGTAGCGGTGAGGCTTCTTCACGCCGCCGGTCGCCGGCGCGCTTTTCCGAGCAGCCTTGGTGGCCAGCTGCTTGCGAGGCGCCTTCCCGCCGGTGGACTTGCGAGCGGTCTGCTTGGTACGAGCCATGCTTCAGGGAAGAAAAAGCAGACGAACCGTTCTCCAAATGCACAACGGCTAACAATATTCGAAAGCCCGCCGGAATGGTATTTATCGTCTTTTCCCTCGGTTTTCATTGGCTGCCGGCAACAACCAATCGATTGCCGGATTTAAATTTTCCGCGCCGCGCGGTGATTGGACAGGGTTTTCCACATCCGGTTAGTCGAAACACTTTCATCCCAACACTGCAGCTTCTCCCGCGGAATGCAAGCTCTGTCAGCATTCGCTTTGTGTATCAGAGGGCGTTAGGGATATGCAATGGTTAACTCCCTCCTAAGGAGACACCAGTCCTTAAACACAATTAGCCTTTTGAACGACACTGATGTCTTCCCAGGCCCTGGGGGGGGGGTGTTTCAGGGCACAGTGTTAAAAGCCCTCGCAGCATGTCTGACATCCCTACTTTGCATTTCTTAGTTTTAATCTTTTGCAAGCTTATTTGGTCTAGGATCGCCACAAATCGAAGTGGAATTTAAATCTATCATTCTTGAATGTGTATTGACATCTAATATTGTATGCCAATAAAAGGTATTTGAATTTGAATGTGTATTGACGGAAGAGAGGATTCTTTTAAAATGCCCCGCACTGAATCTTGATTGGTCGATAGCTGCACTATCGCTTTTTCATCCAATCCGTGTAGAGTACCTATTTTTCCCTTTGGGAGTCTACCAAGACTGTTATTAGAAAGATACTTCTAATATTAAAACTAATCGAACGGCCTAAAGCCCCGTTGAGAAAGATAGCGTGGCCGAGCGAGCGGTCTAAAGCGTTAGATTAAGGTGCCTGTCTCTTCAGGGTCGCGGGTTCGAATGCTACCGTTACCGTACTTTTATTAAATTATCACAATGGGAAAAGCTCTTTATGCAGGATTCTGACTACTCAGACCTCAAATAATGAAGTACCCTTTTTAAATTATGGACCCCAATACCAAGAAATAGTGCGTTAGCATGCAATCGCAAACCAAGATAAACGCTTCCGTGCCTATGGGTGTAAACTGTTTAGGGTTGCATAGCCTTCTAGCTCCCCAGTCTGTATGTTTAATATTAAAGGAGGGTGGGGGGACGGGACGGAGAACATGATAGAGTGCGAGAATTAAGCTACAGATTTCATCAGAGGATGTTGTTAAATGCCATACAGATTTCGAACTGTATGGAAGGACAAAGAGGGTAAAACTTGGGACAGCTCCATGTTAAAAAGTACAAAGCCGAGGCGTAATTGGCATCTCATTATACTAAGATGAAATGACCGACCGATTCCAAAATCTGCTGACAGACCACAGAAAAGGACAGATTGGTCAAAGAAACAACAGAAAAAGAATGTTGTGGGGCAGAAAACCTAGGAAGCGAATCGGTAGACTAAAAACCGTGTGTGCTTTATCGCTGTTGCAACAGAACCTTGTAGGGTTTTTTTTTTAATCGAAGCGTTTATATTGTGTTCATAAGAATGAAAGGCGAACCGCTTCACCTTTACGTGTAATTTTTTCTTAGGCAGGACGAAAAGATAGATTTGGTTTCCAAAAGCTAAGCTCTCCCCGTCGGGGAATCGAACCCCGGTCTCCCGCGTGACAGGCGGGGATACTTACCACTATACTAACGAGGAAATTGCTGACAACTGCTCTCTATCTAATCTATTTTATACTACTGTACCTGGCTGTGTAAGTTACTGCTTTTCGACAATGTATCCCTTATTTTGGGAGCAGAAATGAAACCACCCCCACAGGATTTCCCGTCTTTATATGCAATCATTTTTGCAAGAAAATAACACGCTTTAAAAAAAAAAGAAGAAAAAACCGAAGAGGCACATCGCTGTAATATTGCAAACCATGCATACTTTGCTTCGGAAGTAGTGACTCTGCGCCATCGTATCTCATGAACACATGAAGTTGCCTTCTACAGAACCAGAGCCTGGGTCCATCCGGGTCAGTATTCTCTACTCAGTCGGGTTAGAACGGATAAAGGGAACTGCTTGGGGGGGGGGGGCAACAGTGGGAGGGGGCTTCTGGTGTCCGCTGGCCCTCCTGATGGCCCCTGGTGTTTCTGGCCACTGTGTGACACAGAGTGTTGGACTGGAGGGGCCATTGGCCTGATCCAACATTGGCTTCTCTGATGTTCTTATGTAAGGCAAGAAACTTTGGGGGGTGGTTGGCCATTGCCAGTCTCTGCTTAGCGAGCCTCGTCTTCCTTGGTGGTCTCTCATCCCACTACTAAACAGGGCCAGCTTTGCTTAGCTTCGGAGATACATAGGGCTACCCTTGGCCGTCTGGGTCAGTGTTTGCTGTGAAAGCCTCCCTCCCTCCCTCCCTCCCTCTTCTTTCTTTCTTTCCCGAAGCTGGATGGCCCAGGCTAGTCAGTTCTCGCTAGATCTCGGAAGTTAAACAGGGTTCTCCCAGGGCTGCAAGGCAGAGGGATACCCTGACAAACCTTACCTCTGAATCTCTCTTGCCTTGAAAACACTGTGGGGCCGCAATAAGTCAGATGTAACTTGAGGGGGACCCGAGTGTGCCGCATGACGGAGTGAGCTCCC